CTTTCAAAAAACGCAAAAAGAAATTGCTGTAATTTGATTTTTGAAGCTTGAACTAATTTCTTTTGCCATTTTTGAACTAAGGCCGTCTGCACACCACGGCCTGCCCGCACGCATTTGCCTTTTTGAAATTGGCGGTTGAGTGACCTGCCGATACATGTTTTTTTTTTTCCCCTCCCTTTTTTTCTTTTCTTTTTTAAGCTATATTCTTCTGTCATCTATCTCATCCTCTCGCAGCCTCGCTAGTCTGTGTATAGTACGGGGGAACAAAAAACCGGGATCTCTCCCTAGCCCACGGGCCCAAGGGGTAGGTTGGCACTACAGCAATGGTGCAAGAGCAAGTCTGTACCAGTGCTTCATCACGGTGATGAGGGGTGGGCAGGCATTCCCGATGGGGGAAATCGGCGGTGCTAGCATCGAGCAATGGCCAGTCACTGCACATTCCCCAAACCCCCCCAAACCCCATTTTGAAACTCAATTGTCACTTGAACGTATGTGCCCCTTACCGCTACTTGTTTTACTTTCAGTATTTTGCACATTTCATTTACATTTATATTTGCCATATTTCGTACTTTTATTCATGTATTTTCAACTGTTTCTATTTTGACAATCAAATTCGTAGTTGGTTAAACAATTTCCATCGGAGGGAGGGAGGGATTGCCCGCCTCCCTTTTGCATGGAAATAAAATGACCTGAGTTTCTTTGAAAAAAAAAAAAAAAAAAAAAAAAACAATTCCCTGAAGACTGGTCATGGACTTCGGATTTCAGAACTGAACAAGACTCGCTTTTCTTCCTTTTCCACTTTTAGAATTCACAGGAAGTGGGATTGTACGGCACTTCATTTGTCTTCCTCTACTAGAAGAGGAACCCCAGACTAGTTTCTGCTGACCCCCTCTTCTTTGTTATCCAATTCATATACTTATATATAGATGCATAGATGATAACCAATGGTTGCACAAGCTAGATAACAAAGAGGAGGGGGCAGCAGAAATTAGTGGGAGAAAGCAAATGAATCAGCGACCTTTCCCAAACACCCAAGTCACCTACCTTTTGTACCCTGATCTAACAAATATACACCCTCCTCCCCCTCTGGGGAAGAAGTTCAAGCAGGCAGAGTCTCAGGGCCACATGTGCACCCGCATCCCCATCTAACCCAACTTTCTCCACTGTCAGAGGAAAAAAGAAAGAAGGGCAAAGTAGTGCCCCCAGGCAAACCCAAAATGTTCCCTTTTGCCAAAAAAAGACACGCTCAGACATTCTCCATCTGCATGAAGCACGCAGCCGGGTGCGTGCAGGAGTACCTGGGCCATCGATGGCCCCTGCAGATACAGAATGCTCCATCTTACCTTGAGCAAGAGGGAAATGTGTCAGAGAGAGAGGGAACGAAAGGCCTCACACGAGAACCTTCGCCGTTTCGTTTTGGCAAGTTTCAGCCTATTCCCAGCCTTTTAGGAGGCCGGGCCCGACAACAGCTGCCGTTGATAAATCTGATCGACGGCCGTCATTTTCGTTTCGGCCTCCTGAAAGATCGGAGGGGGGCTACTATTTTCCGAACCAACAAAGGTACTAGTGGTTAGAAAAAAAGAAAAAAGAAAAAAAAAAAAAAGAATCAGGACAAGAAATAACCACAGAGGTCAAACAAGAAGAAGGGGGGAGTAACAGCGAAGAAGGTAGGAGGAGGAGGTAAACAGCAGCTTTCTATTCCTAGTCAATTTTTCACATACTGTTTTACTACTCTGCTTAGTAGTCATGCCGCCGGTCGGCATCCCTGGATTGGTCGCGGGCCGACCAGTCCCACCAGCCGACCATCGGACTGGTCGACACCTGCCGGTCGGGGGTCAGTCCGCACCCCGGAAAAAAAAAGAAAAAAAAAGAAAAAAGTTTTTTGCGTCCAGGACCCCAATAGCCCCATCAACACCCCCATAGCTGTCTCTTATACACATCTAGATGTGTATAAGAGACAGGTTTTACTACTCTGCTTAGTAGTCATGCCGCCGGTCGGCATCCCTGGATTGGTCGCGGGCCGACCAGTCCCACCAGCCGACCATCGGACTGGTCGACACCTGCCGGTCGGGGGTCAGTCCGCACCCCGGAAAAAAAAAGAAAAAAAAAGAAAAAAGTTTTTTGCGTCCAGGACCCCAATAGCCCCATCAACACCCCCATAGCCCCCCCCCCAACGCCCACCTACCACCCAACACCCTCATACACCCCCCTTAACCGCATACACCCMCCCTATAACCCCCTTATGGCCCCAGTATACCTCCCCCATAGCCCACCGTCCCCCCCCTCCGCCCATCCTCGAAAGTTTCTCACTGGATTTGGGCTGTACTCAGCAAGCCCAGTACAGCCCTGAACTCGGATTTGGAAAAACAAAACAGTGGATGGCCCTCTACAGACTGCCGACCAGTCCGCCTATGGACCACCCGACTGGTAGGTGAGCCGGCAGCATACGGTAGGCGACGCCTGTAGGCCGTGGGCGTTCGTACAACCCTGCTACTCTGCCAAAAATACACCCAGACATTGTGCATCTGCATGAAAGCACGTATCCCCTTTCTTTTCCTACATGCCAAGCTTGCATCTGCATGCAAGCACGCATCCCCTTTTTTTTTTCGGAATAGATGTCAATTTCAGAAATAAAATCAGTTAGTAAGATTGCTCTGCTTCCAAATGCACAATTTACAGTTGCGATGATATATACAAATCGCATTTTTTCCTTTAATCAAGTTTAATGTATCAATCTGGGTAGCACGGCGTACGTGTACGCGGGTTGCGCTTACACGCGTACACGTATTCCTGTACGCGACACGTACGCGCGTACACGTACTCCCACACGTGGGAACACGTAAAACAAAACAGAAAACAAAACAAAACAAAAAAAAAAATCGGAAAATCTGAAAAACGTTTATGCCAAATGATATTTTAGACAACTTTTACCTGAGACACATCTCAAAATTCCGTACCAAACTCGAGTTAAAAATCAAAATAAAAGCAAATAAATTGACACAATATTAATTAACAAAAAAAAGAAAAAAAAAACAGAAAAAAAAAAACAAACTTCTGTAACAAATATATGATATGCAGTGACATGATACAAACAACTTTTGCCTGGGAGTCATCTCCGAATTCCTAACCAAACTCAAGTAAAAATTCAAAAACTACAAAAAAACTTTAAAAAAGGTAATACTATCATCGTAATTGAAATTTTATTTAAAAGTTTTCTTTTTTTCTATTTTCTTATAGGTTTTATAACTTTTATTTAAGTTATTTGATTTTTAAATCGAGCTTGGTTGATAATTCGGGTATGACCCCCAGACAAAAGTTGTTTGTATTATTATTCTGTACAACATACTGTTTTTTTCAGATTTTTCAGATTTTTTTTTTTTTCCATGTACTCGTACGCGCGATTTTGGGTTTGTACTCGTATGCCGTAATACGTACGCTTACGCACTGCGTAAGCTTACGGGGTGCTACCCAGGTATCAATCAATGTAGGCCAGAATTTTGGCACTGGGGTGGGTTTGGGGGGGAAGAGGGACGGAGGGAAAAAAATAGGGGAGAACTGATGCCGCCTCCAATTTGGGGAGGGGAAAAAAAAAAAAAAAAAAAAAAAAAGAACAAGGAGGGAATAAAGTTCAAAAAAGAACACAAGATTACTTGGCAATTCAAAGTAACCTAAAAATTATTGCTCTCAGTGATATACTAATTTTCCACCTCGATGAGCAACCCCATTTTAAAGTAAAAATAAATAAGGGGGAACTGAATCAACTGATGCCTC